AAGTGCTATTGGGCAATACCACACACTAAGGCTTTGTGAGTGGTTGGGTAGTTGTAGGTCTTCCTTTTACACAGAGCACAGAGGATGAGAAAGAAGAACGGGGTGATATTTTATAGTTCTCATCGTGTCACCATCTAGATAGGAAATTTATTTATTCATTTGTTCATTCATCTAATATTTATTGAGCACCTGCTGTGTATGAAGAATTGTCCTTCCAGACAAGAACTTGATTGGGAACTAGAAACTGTAGGAGAGAGGCAGGTAAGTTGACTATGGAGGCTCTTGTGATCCCTGGGGAGAGTGTGGTGACTGCAACATGAAATAAATGGAACTCCTAAGTAGGATAGAATACAGATTTAGATCACAATGAGGCTCGAGGGACAAAATTGTATCTTTCCTGAAGAAGGAAGCAAAAGTGTTGCAGATACTGGGAGTAGCTCCAAGCTACATCTACCCTAGACCTTGGCTTAGATTTTGTGGCCACAGATGAGGTAGCAGTGATGAAATAAAAGTTCCAAACCTGCCTCTCCCTCTGATTTTGTAAATCTGAACAAATTTATTAACCCTTCTGAATGTGAGTTTATTCATCTGTAACAATTGTTATTTGTTGTGACAATTTTTTTCTGTCATAAAATTTGGAATAGTTATATACTCCTGCTGTATGGAACCACTCTAATAACTGAGTGGCATAAAGCCACAACAATATATTTATTTTGCGGATTGATTGGTTAGTTCTGTTGCTCTTCTGGGCTTGCACATGTAGCTATGTGTAGCTGGAGGCTTGGTGAAAGTCTTGACTGAGCTGGGACATCTGGGGCTCTCTTCACTTAGCTTTTTACCTTGGACATCTTGACAGCATGGCCATCTAAGAAGAGCAACATCTAATGGAGTGAAAGAAGAAGCTGCAAGGTCTCGTAAGGCCTAGTCTTAAAGTCATACAGTGTCACTCCACCATAATCTATAGGTCAAAGAAAGACATAAAGCAAACTCAGATATAAAGGGTTTGGAAATAGACCCTTGATGGAAGAAGATAAGAAATATTGTAAATCTAGTTTTCAATATACTGTAAAATTGTGGTGAAAATTGAACAATATTATGTATGTGAAGCTATTATTTTTCTCCACATGCCTGTAATTAGGTATGATCTGACAGCAGACACACACACACACATATATATATATATATATATATATATATATCTACAAAATTCTATAATACTAAGAGTCAAAAGTTAGTTTTTGATAATATAGCTAATTACATCATGAGTGATCTACCCTCAATGTGGGGAATTGGAGCTGTGTGAGAGTTTAGTTAACTCTTTCTGTGAAGTCATGCTTTAATTTGTAATGTTAGATCTCGGGAGCTGAATTTAATATATTTCTTATGCACTTGAAAATGCTTTATCTCAATACGTTCTAAACATAATCAAAAATTTGTGAGATAATGTTATAGACATCTGAAGACTTTTGTGTGTGTCCACATCAATAATTCCCATTTTTGGCGTATAACCAAACTCCATATACACAGCAACTCCTTTCCTGTGGCATGCATTCTCGTTGGGACCATCCACATAAAATGGTCCATTATCCTCCATTATTCAGGATCATGGGCAGGTTCTCTGAAATATGTAGGTCAATAGGATCCTTTGAATTTAAATGCTGAGAGGAATGACAGAAAGACCAACATGGCTGGAATTGATTAACCTAAATGGCATCACCCTGAAGAGATAAAAAGATATGAGAGTGGGTTTGAAGCTCAAATGCCATATTCCAATTGATTAGTCAATAAACTATTTGTCTTTTGCTATAGTTTTTAGGACACTGTGCAAGTTTCTGTGAATAAGATATGCAGAGATGGAGTTGTGGCTCAGTGGTGGAGTGCTTGCCTAGCAAATTGACCCCACTTGGGTCAATTCTCAGTACTACATATAAATAAATAAATAAACAAATAAAATAAAGCTCCATCAACATCTAAAAATATTTTTAAAAAAGAAATGTAACCTTGTCCTTAAAAATCTACAGTATAGGTAAGGACAATAAGTAGCTTGAGTGCAGGAAAAAAATATATAGTTCACTCTAACAATAGAATAAATATTCTAATTGTTAGTACCTAACATAGTGTGTAATGCATAATAGGAATACTATAATTATGTGTCATTATTAATTTCTAAGTAAATTATTCTGTTAATAAATGCATTAAATCTGAACAAGAGAGACTAGCATAAGCTGTATCTTCTAAACAAGGAGAAAGTTAAATAGATTTTCTTAGCATAACAAATTTGCTTGAAATGAAAAGGTGGGACAAGGGAATTATAGCTCAAAGACTTATTTTGCAAACAGTGCTATGAACTGTGCTAAATTTAAAGAGAAGTGCATCTTGAAACTCCTATTGCAAAGATGAGCGTTTTCATTATCGGTTATTGAATTTTGTTGCAAATAGTGTGATGATTACCTGCCCAGAAAATGTGGCTATTTCTTACATATTTAAAAAAAATGTATTTTCTTTTCAGTAATCAATTAAGTTATCCTCCCCACTCCCCCCTCAGAGCTTCCACTATTATGGTTGAATTTCTCAAAGAGTGAAATATATGCCCTAAAGTTCCTTACCAATATGAAGAGAATTAAAGAGTCTTTCCTCTACTGGAGGAAGGGGGCCAATGAAAAAAGAGAAAGATGGAAACCAAAGGTCAGATAAAAGCATTTAATCTAAATTTCTCCCTTGGAGGTGAACCCCTGGAGGATAGTATAGGGTTGAGTTGGGAATAATAGAGATGTCTGGAAATGCTGGGAGGAGGAACTTAAGGAGCACCAGAGTTTGCTCTTTGCTTCCTGGGCCAAAGCCTTATAAAAGCCCTGCGTTTGGCTGCTGCTGTCCTGTCCAACGTGTCACTGGATGGGAGAGTGTAAGAGGGGCATGTGGTGTCTGGCATGCTGCTGGAGTACAGGGAAAGAAGGTGGGATTTCCACATTCTATGTAAGGTATAAAACAGTCCAGAAAACTCTGGAGGTCAGGATAGGGCCGTCCTGGATCTCTAGCAGCCCTTTCTCTCTAGTTCTTCTGCTTAGACCCTCTTCCTATCCTAAATAACTTCCTTACCTCTCCATTTAGGGAGCTTTCATAAATATCCCTGTCAAGGCTCTACTCCAGAATCTCTGGTTTTGGGTTCTGGTATTGGATTTAAACAAAACAAAACAAAACAAAACAAATAAAAAAAAAAACTCCTCAGGTCATTCTACTGTGTAGCCAGGATTAAGAACCACTACCCTCTCTACATGTTAAGGCTAGTCATGTTTTAGATTTGAGTTAAATGTTGTTTCCTCCATCAACCCTAACCTAGGTCAAGTCACCCTGTTATATATCCTCCAAGCAAGCAAGTACAATTGAGTCATTATTTGTTTCAAGTTTGCCTTTCCCTGTAGGTTACTTGTTGTGTGAGGAGAGAAAATTTCTGTTTTGCTTACCAGTAAGTCTGGGTCCTCCATGCACCATGTGGTAGAAAATTGGTGCTCAAAAAACACATCTTGAATGAATGACCTACTTTACTCAAGTGAGGTTGTGTGACCAAGGCTTTAATTCATGGATTCGTGAAGAGAATTTTTCCAGGTAAGGATTAAGTTAGACAACATACTTAAAAGACTATGACTTTAATATATGTTCAACACTTTGAACGTGTTCATCATCACTATTATAAGTCTGTGTGGTCCAGCTTGTAATTAGAAAGAAGTTGAGTAACTTTCATAAGCCCCTGGGCACAAACTATTGCAAAAAAGGAAAATTCCCTTTAAAAGATGCATACTTTGGGTTCCTGTTTGTGGTGAACTCTTATTCTTGTCTTGAGAGCTGGTAGTTGTAACTGGGG